AGCGCACACTCTACATATCTATTTATACATGCTATAATTACCCATGCATCCTACAACAAATGTAAAGAGTATCCATACAGACGCATACCCATGGTCACGTCTGTAATATTAAATAAATTACTTGGATGGTGTTTGTCAGATTAAAGATTAAACCTTTTAAAAATAACATTTAAGTAGGTATTAAACAGGCCTTTTTTTTCTGAATGTCAGTGTTTTTTATTATGTAATTTTGAAACCTTAGATATTATATTTTCATTCGCTGCAGATGGAGCAGCATCACAATGAACAGAAATAAAAACTTATAATCATCAGTCTGTGTAGTTAGTCTGTGTTTTATTTTGTAAGTTGAGTTACTGAAATAAATAAACTTTTCAATAAACAAAACTATTGAATGGGTCTGTATGTAGACTTACATTCATGCCAATACATAGAAGAAAACCTATATACACAAATATCGAGTATGCAAACCACACTCTGAGCTAGCTTTGTTTAGCTACTGGTAAATTTGTCTGTGAAATACCATTTTTTAATATTCTTTTGGATTCTTTTTTTTTTTTGTCCTCGCACTAAAGATTTGAAAAACGTAATTCTCCTTTATTCGCTTTTTCTGTTCAGGAATAAATTTTGCATGTTAAGGGGCAGCATGTTGTGTCTGGATTTGCAAACTATTTGTGCAGTTTTGTATTGGATCAGATTGGTATATTACAAAAGTTAATCAAGTTTAATTTACCCACACTTAACTCTTTGGTTTATTTTTTAACTGTAGGATAGGAAAAATTGGAAATCAGAAGCGAGTGGTGGGTGTTCTCCTCGGATCATGGCACAAAAAGGTTCTTGATGTCTCCAATAGTTTTGCAGGTAAGTATTAGCATAAAATGATGCAGTGAAAAATAAAGGATTGTCATTGGTAAAATATATTTACAAACCATCTCAAAATCAAGAAGACTGACTAAAGTACTGTACAGTAAAGGCTTCCAAGTCTCTCCTGATAACTACATGCATAAAATTGTTGCCAATTAGTGAACGTAACTAATTTGGACTTTGGTTATCTGTAAAAATGACAACCGATATCCCTAAACATTAGGAGGTGGGCCAAAGTAAAACAAACCCAAAAATCCTTTTTGTAATATTTCAAAAGAAAATGGTTTTACATGTCATGCAAGTTTTGTCATGAACTTAAAAAAGGTCTTAAGACGCCAGAAAGCAACATAATTCAATGCTTAAATTTAAACATGTTTGTGTGACAAATAATTGTGTTGTATCTTTTTAGTGCCATTTGATGAAGATGATAAGGACGACTCTGTATGGTTCCTGGATCATGACTACCTTGAGAACATGTATGGCATGTTTAAGAAAGTTAACGGTAAGAGAGTGAACATGCGTTGGTGTTGGATCATTTTTGGGCCGTTTTTTTTTTTTTACTTTGTGTTCACCTGTTTTTAACTGTGTTCTTCATTTTTAGCCCGAGAAAGGATAGTTGGGTGGTACCACACAGGACCCAAGCTCCATAAAAATGACATTGCCATCAATGAGCTCATCAAGCGGTACTGTACCAACTCGGTGAGCATCGCTGTCACCTCATCTGGACATGTCTTTGTTCGTTCTGGTGATGAACGCCTTCCATATCCCCTACTTTCCCCACCAGGTTTTAGTCATCATCGATGTGAAGCCCAAAGATCTTGGACTTCCCACAGAAGCATACATTTCAGTGGAGGAAATCCATGATGTAAGTAGTGCGTTAAGTCTAGTTTGAACATATATTTTTGTTTAGATTGCATATAACAAAAAAATTATTGACAAACGTGTATTTTTTCCTAGGATGGCACTCCAACATCTAAGACATTTGAACACGTCACCAGTGAAATTGGAGCTGAAGAAGCAGAAGAAGTGGGAGTGGAGCATCTGCTGAGGTATAACACAAACTCGCCACCTGCTTCATCACCCTGAGTGATTACTCTTCATCGTTAATGCTTGTGTTGCTTTAGGACAGAGGCTTGAGACATGTTTCAGTTTGCTTTATTAAGACAAAACACTCAGCTTCTTCCTGATTTCTCCTCCGCTGTATCCTGACTCCAGAGACATCAAGGACACCACAGTGGGAACTCTGTCACAACGCATCACAAACCAAGTTCACGGCCTGAAGGGACTCAACTCAAAGCTGTTGGACATCCGCTCCTACCTCGAGAGAGTGGCTGCAGGAAAACTTCCCATTAACCATCAGATCATCTACCAGCTGCAGGATGTCTTCAACCTGCTGCCAGATGTAAACCTACTGGTAAGATGTGGCAGCTGACTGACATTTACTTACTGTAACTGTATTGTACGTTGTGTCCGCTCCTTGAGCATGTGGCTAAACAGCTCGTTGTTGATCTCGTCGTTTCAACATGAAACCCTGTTCCAGAAGGCATTTTGCTTTCACAGGTTCTGGATAGTGGCTTCAACATACTTGCAATTTGGTAGAGGTTAATACTTAGGTCTTGCAATATCGCAAAAACACCCACTGCTAGCTAAAAGATAGAATCTGAATTTTCAAAACCTTACAGCACTCTGGGTTTCAGTTTAAAACCATTTTCCTTATATTTTGTGTTTTTAGTTGTTTAATTCTTTAATTCTGGGTCTTAGAGTTATTTAAATTAATTAAAACTGGGTAAAATGAGTTATGTAAAAGAAAAAAACAGAATGTGAACAAATAAAATGTGTTTTCTGTGCCCACAGTTTTCAGCTATTGAGTGAGAGAGCACAGAGATTCATATAAAAAATTAAAAACAAAAGCTTCATTGTATCTGGTTTTGACACAAAAGCAAATAAAGTCTTTTTTCCCCCTTATTTGACATGTTATAACTAGATTTTAAAAAATCCAATACAGTAGCGTTTTTTTTTTTACTCTGCTGGATCAAAGTCAGCGTCTGCATTGAGGTTTTGTATGATTTATTGTCCATACAGATAAGACCCAACTAGAGAAGAAATAAATTTTAAATGTATGTGTTATGTGAGATAAATATATTTAATTTCAGGATATATTGGTATTTATGAGCTGATTTTTAATTACTTTATTTTTTGTTATTGAATACGTGTTTTGCTGCAGGAGTTCACTAAAGCCTTTTACCTGAAGACCAACGACCAGATGCTGGTGGTCTACCTGGCCTCGCTCATTCGCTCTGTGGTGGCCCTGCACAACCTGATCAACAACAAGATTTCCAACAGAGACGCAGAAAAGAAGGAAGGGCAGGAAAAGGAGGAAGGGAAGAAAGAGAAGAAGGATGACAAAGAGAAAAAAGATGAAAAAGACAAAGACAAGGAGAAGGAAAAGGCCGACGGTGCCAAAAAAGATGAGAAGAAGAAGAAATGAGTGCTCTTCCTCCATGGTCTCTCAAATCACACCATCTTCAGCAGGATGGCGTTCTACTTTCTGCCCCTCTGTATGTGGGTCTGAGACTAAAAGTAGGACTCTAAATGGGGAATTGTGTCATTTGAGATTTGGCCTCCTGGTAACAACTTGCCACTCAAAGACTGCTATTAACGTAACGAGATGATGACTTTTGCTCTCCAGTGTTCTGAGCTGTGAGAACATGTTTATGCTGTTTTCATAGTTGCCATCCTTTGGTGTTTTGTAAAATGGAGTAAAAAGGATATTGTTTCTGTATCACTCATTAAATCCGGAGCAAAGTAAAAGTTTGTTTTTGTAGATTTGTTTGCCTTTTGTCATAAAAAAAAGTCAATAAAAAACATGTTTGGTTTTTTTGGGGGGGATATATTTGTTGGCATATATAATTTCAAACTATGAAAATTTTTGCAAAATTGTTTAATTGCATTATTTTTAGATGGCCAATGGGACTGAAGTGAAAAGGAAAAAGTCAATGATGCATTTTGTATTTATTTTAATGTGGTTTGTGGATTAGGATTGCCTAGAAGCTGCATTGATAACTGGCTCTGATTCACTTTAAGCAACTTTTTAAAAAAATGTCCATTATCAGTATTATGAAACTAATCTGTCAAGATTCTGAGGTAAATTGTTTACTGACCCAGTGAACAATCTGGATCACAAACCACAATAAGATGCTGCTTATTTCACAGGTTGGATTCATATATCAATTGATTTCATGTAATGTGATAGATGGCAAATGTTTATTATTAATCACACTTTGTTACCTAATCAAAAGCAGAAATGCTGACATTACTTCTAATAACTACTGCAGGGAAAAGGGAAAAGTTTTCAGAAAGAAATGATCAGACATTCACTCTAATTGACTCTGTAGTGAAGAATACGACTTTTAAAATTTGCAACACAGGAAGGAGAAACACCTAATTATGTAATTTGTGTGATCTTATAGATGTTTGCTTTTTGCAAACATCACATAAAAAGCAGCAGGTACTATGTAAAATGTCATACTGATGTCAAAAATGATCCCAGATGTATTCCATCTCAACGTTATTGAATTTCTAGTTATAAGAGAACCAAATGACAGCACTTAACACACAGATAAAAGGTAGCAGCAGGAGAATCCCCTCTTATCACTACCCCAGCTAATTAAAACATAAGAAATCATCTATATTCTTGAGGTGGAACAAAATATAAAGCACAAATCACACAATACTTTCATCATAATCTACAATGGTGGCCTATTGAGACTTGTTGATAGGTTAAATTTATTTCAATCTTGCACTTGTGTGCTCCCCTGACCGATATTGCTCTGGGCGAGTGCCCATATGACCCTAGTCAAAAGGCTGTGCACTTTTAAAAATATTTTATTTCCTTTTTTTTTACACTTTTGGAAATAATTGCAGGCATGTTGATGAAAATGTTAGATAAAATTTAATATTGGTTTAAAAGCTCAAATGTCTTATTTTTTAGGTGTTTTACATTTGAACGCTTTTTAAATAGCAGAAATTTACACACACACACAAAAAAACTATTCGTAAATTATTTTATAAGCATATATATTTTTTTCCTTTCTGCTGTAAAAAGATACTACAATAATCTGAGATCTGTTATAAATCCAGACCGGTGCGCAGTGGACACGGCGCGGTTTCTTCGGAATAGAAACGTCTTCAATTTTGTTTTGTGCCTTTCTTTTTCTTTTTTCTTTTTTACTGCGTCATCTCGCCTCTTCGGCTCAAAACTCGCCTTTCATCTGCAGCAGTTTCCTAAAACGCCGGCAGCGCCAATTTAGCGCATTTAATCCGTGGTTGTGTCGCAGAAATCAGATTATTGGGCAGGTAAACTGGATTCTGACGTAGAGGGCTTAAACCCCGACGGGGAAGCGGAGGAGCGTCGCGGCCGGAAGCAGCGGTTCAGGAGGTGTGCAGCTCAGCCAGGCTCCTCCTTTTCGCCTCTTTTTAAGAGCTGGACATGACTCCGGGATAAATCTCTGCGGGCGGCTGAGCGGAACGGAGGACCGGCTGGAACATGGCTTCGTATCTGCAGGTGAGGCTGTCGGCTCCCAGCTGGCGGGGCTGAGCGGCGCTCTGATAACTTGTTCACTTGTCAGGGTGTGGTTTATGAGCTGCATCGGCTACCGGCTGTAGGCCCTTTCCAGAGAAGACTCCTGCTCAGATCCTCCTCGTCTTGATTTTGCTCTCCAACTGTCACGCACGCCTTAATCCATTTTCTCTTCAGGGGCGGATAAACAGGTGGTTGGGTGGGCTTTTGCATTCCCCTAAAGGACTGACCAGACAAACGTTTGCTTGTTGCTGTCTCAGATCGCAGATGATGAGAAAGGACATGATCTAGACCTGTTCTGTGTGCCCAGACATTATGAGAGCGATCTGGACAAGGTGATCATCCCCCACGGACTCATCATGGACAGGTGAGGCACCCTCAACGGGGAAACACCTTTTGTACATTTGAGTCAGCTTCAAGGCATCTCACTCTGGGGGTGTTCACTGCATATGTCCTGAATTATAACGCCAGTTATGTCCACGTACTGTACAGAATTTGCACTCAATACTGGGTTAGGGCTTCTTTTTAAATGAATTACTGCATCAGTAGTGCACGTGTGGCATGCATGTTAATTACCAACTTGATAAAACACTGAGGCCCTATCACCTGCAGATGACAAAACTTCCCAAACCAACCCCGATTGTGGAAAGTTCTTGCTGGACCTCAAGCAGCTTGTATTCTGAACCTCTTGACTGTTCCTCTAGTCTCTGAGTTTTTGATTTCCAAATTACGTGCACATCTTTTTTCTAAAGACTGGCTTTGGTCAACAATTTGGTCCTTTTTTTCCCTTCTTTAGTCCACTCAAGATGCGTCTGATGCTGTCTGTAGTTCAGGAGTGGCTCTAAGTATTGTGTGATGGCTCTTGCAGCAGGACTCCAGCTGGAGTTCATTGCCTTGTTCCAAACTCTTAAATGTTCCTCTCCTCACAATCCTGTAAAGGCCAACTCTGTTGGCAGTGCAACTTTTTATACCACTCCTTTTTTCCCCCCCCCTTTTTTTTAATTTCCTTTCCTGAACTTTCCAATACCATATTTGGATCCATGAACTCCATGCTCCTTTAGCAAGAATTTAGTGGCTTCATCTATGTTTAAGTTGACCAAAGTACAATTTGTAAAGAAAAAAAAATTTTTTTATTATTGGCCTCATGTAATTTTCTGTTCCTGAATTTTGGTTTTTCATTAGTTGCGTACTTGACCTTCATCAGTCAACGTATGCAAACCCAAAACTGAAAAAGAGGCAAAAAAAATGGTTTCGTATTCGAACTGCTGTATATTATTTACAGAAAATTATGAAAGTTATGTCACAAACTAATATGAAAAGAGTAAAAGTAACAATATGATGCATTAATTGAAAGGTGGGGCTGCTAAAAAGCGTTTCCTGATTCACCGAGTTAATTTTGCTCCGTGCTACTGCAGCGTCTGAACCTCTTTCCTGCAGGACGGAGCGTCTGGCGCGTGACATAATCCAGGACATGGGGGGACACCACATCGTGGCTCTGTGTGTGCTGAAGGGGGGCTACAAGTTCTTTGCAGACCTCCTGGACTACATTAAAGTGCTCAACCACAACAGCGATAAATCAGTCCCGCTGACGGTGGATTTCATTAGAGTGAAGAGCTACTGTGTAAGCCGCCTTACTCATTACATTTCCTGGGGCCGCTTGTGCACCGCATTTGGCAAAATACCAGAGAGAGTGATCTATAAATGATAAATCTTCTTCTGCATTGCGCATAATGTGGAGATTTAGTAGGCCGTGCAGAGTGAGTTTGGACATTTGAATCCCAATCTGGAATTGCTGAAGTGAGTCATTATGTTTTTGTTTTTTTTGTTGTTTTTTTGTGTGCGTCACCTAGAATGATAAGTCAACAAACAGTGTTAGAGTGATAGGAGGAGATGAGCTTTCCAACCTATCAGGGAAGGTGAGTCTTCTCCAAAGCATCAGCTCACACATTCTCTGCAGTAAATCTGGATATTTACTACTTTTTTTGCTTCCCCCCCCCTCTCTCTCTCTCTGCAGAACGTTTTAATCGTTGAGGTAAGAGTTTGGTGGATGTGCAGGTCTAATGTTTTAACTTGGCATTTATCACCTGGCTAGAGTAAAAAAAAAATGCCTCGATAATTGATTTACATGTGTTTTGCAAAGCAAATTTGTAGAGTTTACCGGACTAGAGCTTGTGGTTGTCACTGTTCACTCAGTTTTCTTGCTTCTATTAAGCATTCTCACACACACAGTCATCTGTAGTTCCTATTTTCACAAATGTTACATTTAAGAAGTGCATCTCTCTGTTTTTTTTTGTGACCACTTCCTGCTGCTATGCAAGGACATCGTAGAGACTGGAAGGACGATGCAGACGTTACTTTCCCTGCTGAATGAATGCAATCCCAAAATGGTTAAAGTTGTGAGGTAGGCACCGCCCTGACGCAGCACAGGGCGCAGACAGCTGAATTACACACCACAACTTTGACGTCGCGCAGAGTGTGTCAACAGTGCTCTTAGCTAATGGATACCTGAATTAGAGATGTAATGTGACAGAGGGAGGGAGGGAGGAGCTTAGGAGTTAATCTGCTGCTCTATAAACTGCACTGCGGAGGCAGAGGATATTTCTTCCTCTTATGTTTTCCTGAGGTCTTTAAAATATATATCTATATTTTAAATTTTTCCCACACAGGCTTTATGCTAACCAAAATGGTACAAGGCAAAACGCTTCATAAAAAGTATTAAGATGTTACAGGATATTTCTACTTCAATTATTGTGTTGAAAAGGCTGCCTGGATTTTTTTTCTCTTTTTTTTTATGGTTTTTGCTTAATTTCTCCAATATTTTCTAAATTATCTTTCCAGCCTTCTGGTGAAGAGGACTCCGAGGAGTTCGGGCTACAGACCAGACTGTGAGCATCTCTTCTACTCACTAGTGTGCTGCAGTTCAGAATGGTGGTGTTCGTTTCATGCCTGTCACTCAGCTGTGCCTCTTGTTCTTTGGTAAAAGCAGGATTAGTGTTGGTTTAATGAAAATCTACAACAACATTTATTTATTTTTGTGCTAATTCGTGCCTGCTTGCACCCAGTTCACCCAGTCTGTGGTTATGTAAGGCTTTTAGGTTTGAGTGGGATAATCTCTTCAAGATTGCCCCTCAAGGACAGCTGTTACTGTAAGTGTTTTTTTTTTTTTTTTTTTTTACTTTCCCCTAATGCCCGACTGACACCTTAATCATAGCTTTGCAGAAATGGTAGGCGACCAATGATGATTTCTTCGCTACAGAGTCAATTAGAGTGAATGTCTGATCATTTTACCCCTGCTGCACCTAAGAATAGCCGGGGTTCTTTAAATAACTTCCAGTGAGGGTTTCTATATTTGTTTCAGACATTGGTTTTGAAGTACCGGATGCCTTCCTGGTGGGGTACGCTCTGGACTACAATGAATACTTCAGAGATCTCAGTGTAAGTGATGCAAAAAAAAAAAAAAATGATTTAACTGTGTTCCACTTTGATGTAATTTAGCTGTATAACTCCAATCACTACAGATATGGAAACATTCAAAGTAGTCTCTGGCTACTTTGAATCTAATCAAAAAAAACACAGACTTCAGACTTGACTTCCAACTTGAATCAGCAAAAGTACAACAAAGACTAAACATACCAGTCACTGGCTGCTCTGTCAGCTCAGTCTCACCGTTGTTGATGCTCATGCATGTACAGCTGCACCCTTCATTTATCCTGACAATGATACTGGTGTTATTGTCAATAATCTGTAATTTTCTTTCCCACTGTCTTTATGGCAGCAAACCGTAAACTGACCTCTCCCCTCAGTGTGCTGCCCCCTGTTGATCACTTGAAGTATTTGCTCACAAGTACTTTTCAAAATTGTAGTCTAATGTCTGAAATGCACATCATTACAAAAAGGTCTTTTTATTTTAGAAATTAAACCATCATGCACCGCATGGTGGTAATGCAGACCTTCATCACCGCCATGTAATCAAATCGCCAAAAAAACAGCAGAAGACAAAAGCAAAAAAAAAGAAAAGGTCTTGAAATTTTCAAAAACATTTACTGTATATGATTTCAGTTTAATATTTATCATGTGATGAAAACATTTCCTTCAGTCATTAGAGACTAGAGGCTGGACTTGGATGGGAAACTGTAATTTTTCAGTCCAATTGTTGAATGATTTATTTTTTTTGTGTGTGTCGCCTTAAATTAAAAAAAACAAAACTGTATGCTAATTGCACAAAGTGCATTATGCTAGTATAACATGGTCCACTTGTTTGCAAACTATCAGCCACTTGAAAATTCTCAGGGTGTTTTTGCACTTATTGCACCCGAGATCCTCAAATGATTCGAGAGAAGGCTGGAACAAATTAAAAATGACTTTCCAACAGCCAACTGGTCCTGGTATAAGTCCGTCCTTTTGGCCTTTAAATGGTTCCCACATTATTTTGTTCACATGTAAATTTAGCAGATAAGTGAGGATTTTTATCTTGATTTACTATACGTTATTCTGCAAAGAAAATGACTTGAACACCCTTTCATACAAGAGTTTTTGGTCTGAATTTGAGCTGTTTTTAAGGTGAATGTCTCCTGAAGTCAGACTCCTCTTCGTAAGACTGAAGAGGCTAAAGTCCTTGTGCTGTTTAGGAAATCAACTTCTAGTCAGAGAGCTGTTGCCGTCTCCTATTTCAGTGAGGCTGCAGTCTAAAACGAAGTTGTGTAATATTAGCAGGAGAAGAAATTCACAGGTCAGACAGCTGAATGACATTGAAGGCTGCCTTGACTGTTGGAGGGGAAGTGCAAGGCACAGCTGGCTAATTGGTGTCAACTGAGCTGTTCGAGTAAAAAGTTTCCATGTGTCGACCGGCTTCATCATTTTAGTTTTCAGGTTCTGACATGGAAACATACTGCCTAGTCATCGTGCATGTAGGATGCCTTTTTTTTGTTTTGTTTTGTTTTATGCAAATTTTATGAATAGATGCAGCAGGAAGTGTTTGACAGAGATGGTGTTTATCAAAAGCTTTGTTTTTGTGCGTAACTGAATCTTTAGGAGCTGTTGTTACTCCACTGACTGGGTTACAGACTTGGAACTGTTCATTCTTTAAAATGTCAAATTTAAACAGGAAATGTCTGCACAGTGATTCACTTTGTCCTCATGGATTTCACTCTTTTGCAGCACATCTGTATACTGAACGATCAAGCCAAGGAGAAGTACAAAGTATGAGTTCAAAGTGTTGCAGATGTGACTCCCTGAAGACTTGGACCACTGTGATGGACCCTGCTTAGCTTTATTGTGTTCTTGAATCTTATTTATTTATTTTTATATATATATATATGACAATCCACAAAACGTATGACCTGTGGTATGTTATGGACCTTAAGAACATTTCTTTTCATCCTTATTAAAAAGTGGGATTAATTATGTATATTAGATATATTTTTGTTGTTGAATTTTATTTATTTCCCATATTTATGTTTATAGACTTTAGCTGTAAAGCTGTGAAGTTGTTTTAGACACTGAGAGAAAAAAATGTCTAATTTATTCTGGTTTATTAATCGGGTCTCGTCGTATACTTGAGCTGAGTGTTATGCTTTCGATTCTAAATGCTGAAAAAACTCATTGTTCTATAAATTTGTTTGTAATACAATATATGCTTTATTTAATGTATTTCATGTTTTCATTAAGGAACAGTTTACAGCAATACAAGTCCCATTAAAACCATGAATCCTTCATCTGGCGTAGTTTCTTACTTAGCATTTTAAGAGCTAATGTGTGTGAATCTGAAACTATCTATGGGTTGAAATTCCTTTGTTTCATCATTTCACCTTAAGTGTATCTTTATTTGTTCATGTTTATTTCTTTTGGCACATCTTCACTATCAAATGTGGTATAACGGAGTTGTGTTTACAGCCTGCCTTTCTCACACATCTGAAAAGTCCTGTCAACACATTTTCATAAACGGAGAATGGACATTTGTGATTGTCATTCCAAAACATTACCGTTGTTTGACTTATGTCTAATACTTTTCATTTTGCATACGAGCATTTACTTCATTCTCTCATGACTCATCACTCAGTTTGATAAGTCATGATTTCAGAGGCATCCAGATGGTATGGTCAGAAGTTGGAGTAAACGCTATGAAAGTATGAATGCACCTTGTGTTGAATGGTTGGTGGTGAGTCTCTCTAGTACCAGTTTAACATAATTTAAATGCAAAGGTCAATCTAAGTGTTGCTGCTGGTCATATCCAATCTTTTATGGACCTCAAGTGCACATTTTGTTTGTAAAATCAAGCCTAAAAGTGAAGGTGACAGTCTTGGTGGACTCAATGGACTTGAAATACCTGAAGACCTATCTGTTTAGACTGGCTTTGGGAAAGCATTGTATGTTTATTTTATTTTTTTATGCATTTAATTGCTTATGTGGCATTTTGTTTCATTGTAACCTGATACAAAAAAGTACTTCTGGTAGCCACACTCAACATAATAATGCAACATCTTGCAATCCCCAAAATGTTCCTTTTAAAGCTGGTTTAAAGTATTCCTTAAACCAGCTTCCTAAATATATTTATTCCTAGTTTATTGTTTCCTCAGCTGCTTCTTCAACATATTTTGTTATAAATTGAAGTACTACTAGAACTAATACTTCTATTACTACTCTTAATAATGCCTATAATACATACCACTATTTCATATGAAGAATAAATAAAATAATTCTGCCACACCAGAAAGACATCCATTCAATATTTTTCTGACAAACAGAACAGATCAATTAATTACAGTTTAATAATTTAACTAGGATAACAAAAATGCATGAATTTAAGTTATGTTTTATGTACAGGTAAATGTCAGCTTAAGTGCATTGTAGACATGGTTAATATGTCTAAGTGGTCACAATCAGTACTGCTATAACATGACTATTATATTACAGCTGAGCATATACAACTGGATATCAAATATAAATAATTAAAATCAATTATGTGTAAACATTTAGTTTTATATCTAAAAATCAGTCTTTTATTACATTTTTAGGAACTCTTGCCACTCACAGTATGGCGACCGCGTTGACGTATCGTTTCTTCCGGGCAGCGTCGACAAATCACGACCGTGCTCTAATATCATTGGTTGTCATTCTTCTGTCAGGTTAGGTGGTTTGTTGTTTGGAAAAAAATGAGGCGGGTCTTTTGGAGAAAGCACCAATCCGCGTTAGCTACGCACACCAACAAGGTGAACAGACTTCCGGAAGTAGAGTGTATCGTCAATTCGCGTTGTACGTTTATTCAAAGTGTTAGCTTTTAATATTTTCCTAATTGGAAATAAGGTATTTACGTTAATACGTTAGCACATATTCAAATGTAATACAATTCAATTTGGTCGAAGCAGCTGTCAATTATTATGGACCCTAGTAGCTTGTGAGGTAAATCTTTGCTAGCTTCACTCCTTTGATCTAAATGAAAACTTTTTAAACCCATAAAAAGGCATGTTTGTTGTTTTACAGAAATTAAGATATTTCGTCGCAGGTCGAAAAGCATTAATGTATGGTACCACTATGAATCTAAAAGAGGAGACAGTAGCCACTTTAAAGCGGTTTGACATTGGAGAAAAGTTCTCCTATCTTCCCGTCCTGCCTAAAGCGTCAGTGTTGATCCCCCTGTTTGTGAGAGGTGGACAGCTGCACACCTTGCTGACTCTACGCTCAAAGGAGGTAACCTGCGACGATGTCTCTGTGGAGGATAAATGCTGTCTTTCAGTTTCAGCTTTATGTGAGACCTTCTTTCATCTGTGTAGCTGAGGACCGGTGCTGGTGAGGTGTGTTTTCCTGGTGGAAAGAGAGACCCCAGTGACCGGGATGATGTTGACACGGCCCTAAGAGAGGCACAGGAGGAGATAGGTTTACCGCCTGATCAGGTCGAGGTGGTCTGCACATTGTTTCCAGTCTTCAGCAAGGTAGTGGAGTACTGGTCCCTAATGCACTTTGTGTCAGAGCACTAGATCCATCATTTTCTCTGATTTCTTCATCTTCTTCAACAGAGAGGCTTGTTGGTGAGCCCTGTTGTTGGTTTTATAGAGGAAACATTTATTCCAACCCCAAACCCATCAGAGGTTAGTGCCGTGTTCGCTGTCCCGCTGGACTTCTTCACCAGAGAGAAGGACCACTACGTTAACCATGGTGTTGCTGGGATGACTGGACCGCTGCACTCATTTTACTTTAGAGACCCTGCTTCAGGAAACCAGTATCACATATTTGGACTGACGGCTATGTTGGCAACATTGGTTGCTGTTCTCTCTCTAAAGAAAAAACCTCAATTTGATGTTGGTTTTGATCTTTTGGATCCTTTAGCCTTTTTCAAAGACATTCTGCATAAAAGACTGAGTAAGCTATAATTGCACTTGATGCCCCTGTGACTCTTCTAAACTCCTGCAGCCAGAGTACAATATGATTCTCAATTTTTAAATGCCAGATGTTTAAAAAAAATAATAAAATGATGCACTTTTGTTTCCACTAGTAAACATCTCAATGCTTCCTAATTAAAAAAATAAAAATAAAAATTCCAGTGCTGTATTTCGTTTCATTAACAAACCCTGCTTACACATGCATTTCACCTGACAATTTTTAAGTTTTTAAAAGCTTTTTGAAGAAACAAACCACCAACCCTGCTTTGCGTGTAAGTGGGCTGATGACATCACAAGAGGCACAAGAATCCAGGTGATCGACTAGGATTTGGAAAATACTGAAACAGGTGAACAATTTGAGATTTCGACAACAACTTTGAAGCATTTGAGTTGCACTTGAGTTAGAGGGGTTCATCCTGAAGCGTTTGATGCCAGAGTCGTTCTGCTCACAATGAGTACTAATTTGGATGGCAACGCTGATGCTAATTGTGATATAGACATAATGGTCTTTACAATTTCAAATTGAACAGAACTGTTGTGTTGTTTGTCCCTTTTACACAGGCATGTGCCCTCCCAAAGTTTCCCCGTCAAATTTCAACACACTCTTGCCACTCCCAAATAACACCTCATTAGCAAGTTGCAAGAAAGTCTGCCGCCTGGAAGAAAAATGTAAAGGATAAAATAAAGTGCCATGCACAGTTGCCTGTTGATTTTGCAAATGAATTATCATAGTGAGGCCAGTTATAGCAACAAAAGCAGTAGAAATGTTAACATTTAGTAGATATTACACAAACATGTTGAAACTTGAATACCTAAAGTTATGGTTTAACAAAAAGTTTTTCTTTTGAAGTGTTTTCATGTACCATTTCATCAATAAGCTAAGAGCACACTCAGAAAAACACCAGACAGCCAAAGAACATGTATAATTATAGCCATGTTCAAAATGTTTTTACTTCAAAGTGCTTATAGTTGGGCTGGACAGTGGCGCAGCTGTTGCCTTGCAGCAAGAAGGTCCTGGGTTCGATTCCTGGCCCGGGGTCTTCTGCATGGAGTTTGCATGTTCTCCCTGTGCATGCCTGGGTTCTCTCCAGGTGCTCCAGCCACAGTCCAAAAAACATGACTGTTGGGTTAATTGCTCTCTCTAAATTCTCCCTTGGTTTATGTGTGTTTGTGTGTGTGTGCATGGTTGTTTGTCCTGTTTCTTTGTTGCCCTGCCTCTCGGCTGGAACGTTAGCTGTAGATGGGCACCAGCAACCCTCCCAACTCCACTGAGGGACAAGGGTGTACATCGCACACGGATGGAGCTTAGTTTCAATAAATGCTAATGAAATGAGAACCCTGCACATTATTCCAAACCAAAACATGAATATAGATTTCAAATTCATCATACAACAAGATCCAACATTCTTTAAAAACTCAATCATGTATTGCATCAACACCAAAATACTGAACCAACATTTGCTGGTCAGTTTTGTATCCGTGTTGTGAATTGGTATCTTAGCCCAGGATAACCAAGCTACAGTTCCTCTGCATTTCTTGGTTTTGCATCAGAAATGTCATGTCGTCACCCAAACAAGTTTTCTGTTGGAATAAATCAAAGGATTGGGTCGTGCTGTACTGTTAACATCTTGTTGCTGTTCTCTTACTGGTGTGTTTTAGGTTGTTTGCTTGCGATTTCTTCTTCGGGATAAGGCAACATGACCTCTTTAAGTATCTTGATGTATTGCATGAAATAATTTACAACAAATGGAAAAACTGACTACAGTACCTTACCTTTTAGGTGGTGAACTGCATCTTACACGAGTTTGACTTGACAGAAAAGTGTGTCTAGTAGCTACAAATTCAAACTTGGACGTTTAAATTTTTATTAATTCATTTAATGTAGCAGCAGGATTACAGATATAAACAGAAGAGTATACAAATGTCCAGACAAAGGCAAAGTACATGTTAATAATAGTTCAAATGTATAACACGCTGGGGTTGACCTTTATCCTTACTGCAGGGTCTTAAGGCTAAGATACTAAAGCTCAAGCTACACAAAACCGATACAACAGAACCGTCGAAGGATGTGAAGTCGAAAGCAAACTAGGAAAAGTGAGCAAACTGATTATGCACAAGGTACAGCTCACACTATTGGCAAACAGTTAACTTATCATTGCTGCCCCTTTTGATCGAGCGTTTCACATCAACGAATGTTGACAAGCACACCAACACCAGGAAGTTTTCTACAAAAACAATCGCCACCGTCTTGTCCCTTTTACCTCACACTTACAAATCTCATGAGGCGTGGAAAAAAAACAACAAAAAAAACAAGACAACAACAAAAAAAAACAAACAAAACTACAGAAATGTGAAGCTGCGCAATATTTTGATAAAAATCACACATCTCGACTAAATTACAAGAAAAATATATCAGTATTAACTATGTTTATGACTGCTGAAATGATTACGGGTCAGAGAGGATAAAAAGGACAAGGAGCAGGGACACAAAAGGGACGCCAGTAAACACAGCAGAGCAATGGTTAAGTTGTCAAGGCACACAAAGTTCTGTTGAAAGCATCACAATTGAAATTCAAGATACCCCTGCAGTATATTTCACATTTAAATATACATGGATATTCACAGACATGACTGAAGGGACAAACCTCCCTCCGCCCCAGGACATAACACAAAGATGTGTGTGTGCTCTCTTCGCCACAGTTGAATCAATATTTAACAAGGTTCCATCTCTTTTTTTATTTATTTATTTATTTTTTTAGGCCTAAATATACCGGCTCACTGGACAATGTGAAGGGCTGGACATGAAACCAAATCACCATCCGACAGAAAACAAATGAATGGAAACACGAATGACAGCTGGTGCCACACCCACTTATATTCCCTTTGCCTCAGAAGAAAACAAACAGCAAAATCTCTAAAATGGTAATTGGTCCGATGTCAGATGTAGACCAAGCCAGGTGTCCACACCATGAGGTAAAATTTACATTCATGAAAGCGAAGTCACAGGTTGGCTTTCTGTGTTGGTATGGCTTTAAGAGGCATCTAACCTTTCCACGGTTCTTCCACAACATCGTGTGCTCTTTTGAAAAAATCTCCCCTAACCGAGAGGAACGGAATGCTTGGAGACGGCGTGGCTGCGCTCTCACCTGATCTACAGTAAAATGGATGAGTCAAAGTGCCATTTGAGATGCATGACATGAAAACTAAATAAAATAAAAAAAAAAATAATAAATGGGAAAACAAAAAATGAAAATGAAAATGACAACTTGCCCACACGTCGATAGGTTAGCACAGTTCGGGTAAAATCAATAACGATGTCCACTTGATTATATTTTTTAACTTCAAACAGTTCACAGTAAACCTGTGCTTCATCTCAACAAAAGCACAATCTCAATGATATTCTCCTGTGCCATGAGCATAAACCAAAAAAAAAAAAAAAAAGCTTCGTTTTTACAAAAATACTCTACACTCTGATACATGGATACAAAATTTTAAAAAAGATAAGTTACTTTAAAATGGATCACCAACAGCTGCAGGACAAGAATATGACTATGACAATGTAAACAAAATGCATTTATGACCAATGCTATAAAGAACATCTGAATATTTATCAAAAATTGGCTTTTTGATGACGCCAAATTGGCTACTTTTGAATATGGAAAGCAAAGCAGTGTCAACTGCATGGGAAAATAAAAACCGTCGGGGTTCCCACACAATGTAAAAAAAATTCAGATTTTTCCAGACTAATTTTTAAACACAAATGTTTGCTATGTGATTGGATTTAAAACAAAAAAACGGTGGAAAGATGGAGGAAGCACAGAAGGAACGTTTTGAGCAAGGAAGTAAGTACTGAAGGAAGGGCAGAGGAACAAGGTGACAAAGGAGGACACAAGGAAGAAAGCCACCAAGGATTTTAACTAGGAAGACAGAATTAAAGAAAAAGAAGGAAGGCGAAAGAAGAGCAAGGAGAGAAGGAAGTAACGAAAGAAGGAAACAAGGAGAGAATGAAGAAAGGGATCAAGGGAAGAAGAATTTTGACTAAGGAAGGATCTGAGATGGGAAGAATATCAGATAAAAAAAACATGAAGGAAGGACACAAGGTATCAAAACATGTGCAATGGGACAAGGAATGAAGTCCAGAAATATCTCAATTTTTCATGGAGATCTGGAAAATACAGAAATCGGATTTCAATCTTTTCCAGACTGCGTAGGAACCCCGAGTTATGCACTGTATCAGATATGTGGAAAGTACCTTTTCTTTTCTTTCTTTGTTTTTTGTCTTTTGTAAATCTGCTGAATTGCTTTCCACGGGAGAGCTGCATTCATCTGTAGAAATGAGTAAACATCAAGAGGGCGTCCGCGAGGACGAGCCGGAGACGGGATGGCGACGAATCACAACAGGAGCTTTGGTACGCCTGGCTGCGCTCCAGTCCGAACCCACAACAAACAGCCGGCGCTGTGGACTCAACTTTGCAGACACAGTTAAAAAAACAAAGCCAGTGCTATTAGAAATAGTTAACATCACAGCAGAGGTGCGCCTGTACATAGCACCATAGATAACGTCAGAAACTTCGGCCTCTAAGTAACAGCGAGCCCTCACTCAATATGAAAGAGACGAGCCGTAAAACTTCATCCGGTGCCACTCTGTACGCTCTACAAACACTGACAAAAAAACTAAATAATAAAAAACAAACGGCAAAACAGTCTGCAGTGAATCGGTACAAAAAAAAAGAAGAACTGAATGTAAATCCTTCATTTCAGAGTAAAAGATGAAAGAATATTTTATATGGCTAGTCGATGTGTAAAACACAAAAGGCCCACTGAACCACTCAAACAGTGAAAAATCACAATGTTCTAGTGGGAATGGCTGCTTCTGGACAGGCTTTGACTGGACCACCGAGACTTAAACAGTAAGTTGACATTCTATACAAACGCTATAGCTAAAAAAAAAAAAAAAAAGATAAAATGTGAAAATGTTTGATTAAAACTTATTCATCGTTACAAAGACAACTGCTTTCTTTTTCTTTTTCTCGTGTACAAATTCAGCTTGTTCCTTACAGAGCTGTGGACGGACGGATAATCAGGAGGAGCGTGTTACACAAAAAGGTTATAAAGTGCTTGAGATAAAATGTTTATAAAACCACTCAACACTCTTGTTTTCACTAGTGGAAAGCTGCTTTCTGTCCACAATTAATTGGTAGAAACTACAAACGCATTGAAATGAAAAACTGAACAACACATACATGAATGATGTTTAAAAATTCATCCGGAAAGCTTTCACAAACCTACTGATGAGGCCGAAACATGAAAACACTGCATGGCGCCCACAAAAAGTCACATTATTCAACAGGCTGAACCCGATTTGTGATTGTGTAATGTTCCCCTCTCACCCGATTAATTTCACGCTACATTTTAATGAGAAGTTTTATTTCTTTCTTTCATAAGCATGGGTCAGTTAGAGGCATCAGGGTAAACCAAAACAAAAAACTCCACATTCAAAAAGGAAAAGAAAAAACAGTTTTCAGCCACCCATCACCTTTATTACGGCAATTCTGTTTTAAAACTTCAGTGGACAAAGTATGACTAGCATGTCTGGTAAGCAGCTAACAGCAGGCTAGCTAACTGAGCTTGACGTAGCTGGACCGGCTGAGAGAAGGCCCCCCCAATACTTCATTCCTCTCTCTTACAAATAAAAAACTATTTCCGGCTGCTTGGACAGATTTCCAGTCATAGTGTAGAAACTAGAGAAGCACCACCCATCTCTTTCAATAAGCTAAGGCTCTTTTTAAATTACAGCCTGAATGGTCCGAGTAACTAATATCAACTCGTTATACTGTTGGCGCTCGGAATGACGCCAACAGTAGCAGTAATATTCTGCTGCTACTAAATTTAGAAGGTGGCTGGACTATGTTGTTGCTTAAAACTAGATAAGTTAATAGTAAAATTACATGTTAATTTGGAAGCAGTTTGAATATTTGTCCATCCATCCATTTTCTTTACACCCTTGTCCCTTAGTGGGGTCGGGAGGGTTGCTGGTGCCCATCTCCAGCTAACGTTCCGAGCGAGAGGCGGGTTACACGCTGGACAGGTCGCCAGTCTGCCGCAGGGCAACAGAGACACACAACCATGCACACACACACTTAGAGAAACATTTAAAGAAACCAATTGACCTGACAGTCATGTTTTTGGACTGTGGGAGGAAACCGGAAGACCCGGAGAAAACCCACACATGCACAGGGAGAACATGCAAACTCCATGCAGAAAGACCGGGGCCGGTCTTGCTGCAAGGCAACAGCTCTACCAACTGCGCCACTGTGCAGCCCTTTGAATATTTGTTTTTAAAGAAATTCATTTTTGTATAAATATTGTAAAAAATGTGACATTCAAGGTTGTACCGTGAGAATCTCATCCCTTCCCATGCCTAGTTCAAGTAAAACCACTGGTAGCTTTGTGCTTCTGTCCTCCTCTTCAGAGACACTTCAAATGCAGAACAAATGCATACTAGCAAATATAAAAAATAATAATAAAAAAACCACGTCCTTATTCTCAAAGAAACAAGCTTTTCAACTTAAATGGATTTGTAGGCGGGCAAATCCGAGGTTTGAGGAAAATTGTGAGAATTCTTCAAAGCCAAAAACTAAAACCAAAGATGTCTTCAATCATGTGCCGTTTTAGCAACATTACATTTAATCCTAAAGTTTCCCCGATTGACAGACCGAAACCCTGAAGTGAAATGAAACCTCAGAGTTCACACATTCACAAAATGAGATTCAGCCTTTATCCAGAGCATCCGACATTCCATCCCTATTCCGCATGATGTTTCCAAGTGGCCGACATTCTTTATCCCATCCCAGTTTTTTTCTCCTCCCACACCTGGCGGGTTTGTTGCATCATCTCTGAGTCTTACATCATCTAAACACAGAACAAAAACACTGCAGTTCTTTTTTAACATTAATGCATCGAGCAGTTACTCCGGGCCTCGTTAACTTGCAGGATGGGTAATTACAAAGGTGGATTCAACAATTCAAGAGTAATGAACGATAGCTAAAATTAATAATGAATTAATAATGACCTTTTAAAAATCATGTCAAACCTCATAATTTGGGTTTTTAGTAAAAGGGCATATTGTTATTAAGCATTAAGATTTTTTGTTTGTTTTGTTTTGTTTCATGGCATTGGCGCAAAAACCAACACGCCACCTTTGCCAATTTGATGAAATGTAACTTTAAGCCACACGTGTCCCGACCCGTCTCATTGCTTCTGCAGACTTTCCAGGATGTCCTCGATTTTATCCATGCCAGACGTTGCAGAAATGGTCGCCTGCATCTGATTCTGCAAGCTGCTCTGTATCTGAGTCTGCATTGGAGTTTGGGTGTTTGACTGCAGTGCATTTTCTAGGCTGGTCTGCATTTGTGCCTGCAGAGTGTTTTGCAGATTGCTGTGCATGCCGGGCGCGGCCTGCGGCATGGGCTGATCCAGTAGAGGCTGCATGTGACCGGAGTTCTGGGCTTGGGTCTGAGCGGGCAGGTTCGGTCCAGAAGAACTCAGCAACTGGGATGAGTCTGAGAGGAAGAGAGAACAGGGTCATTTACTGTGAATGAAGCGGTTTTAATGCCACAGCTCCAACTTTGGCATTAAAACTCCAACGATCTTAAAAGCTTCATGAAGTTCAGGTAATTCTGGTTTACAGAGCGGTGATTTTTGTAACGCAAGGCGTTTGATGCAATGTGTCCTTCTGACCATCTGGGTGTGTCAAACGTTTCTGTCTCAAAGGATGCTCAGCATTTCACTTCTCGAGTGAAGAAGATCCATTTTGCTGCTAAGATGCAAGGCAATAATGATTCTGTTCATTTATGAGGGGAAATCAGTTGACGGTTTGTTTGTCGAAAAGTTCTTTCATATTTTGTTTAATGAAGATTACGTTTATATTTCGGACATAATTTTCATGGCAGAAAAAACATTTCCTGCGTTGCACGCAGCGTGAGGGGGCAGGGTAACACTCCTACAGACTGGTCTTAACCAATCAGACGCTAGGGTTCATTTAAAGAGCCAGAATGACTAAATAAAGACAGGAAATATGCAATACTTTAATACAGCACTAGGTATTGCGAATATTGTTAATTATGATTTCTATTAAAAGTTTTGGCATGTAGTCATGTCATATTTTAATTAATAATAGAACCAAATTGTTTTAAGCTATGTTGCATTTCTCGATATTTATTTACTGGATGCTCACAAAAATAAAAAAATACAAAAATTCCAGGTGGCTTTGCTCTCTTCAGTAATTGCAGCCCAGTTGATTTTATGGAAAAGAAAAATTTAAATGCTTTTTACACGTGACTGAATGATGCACTAATTATTGTAAAATATTTAGTGTAAGATATTATTGAAATTAAAAGGTGAAGCTATTTAAAAGTTTTTTTTTTTACACATCTTCACCACGGACGCCGACTACTCCACTCTAAAGAACCAAAGTCTGTTGGTAAGATGATAAAAAAATAAATAAATAAAGATTAAACCTGTCTCACCATTCTGGATGCCAAAGACAAATAGGTTGGGCTGCCCCTGCGGCGCTACGGTGCCGCCCACTGCGGTCTGGAACAGCTGCTCTGGCGGCTGCTGGCCCGGGTTGGCGACCACGCCGACGCCACCCTGCACCACAAAGATGGTTGTAGTCGGAGCTGCCGCCTCGGTGTTGAGCTCCTGGGAGCCAATGGTCCCCTGCAGCCCTGACAGGGATGTCTGCGGGATGAACAGCTTCACCGGCTGACTGTTGGGAACCTGACCGGAGCTCGGGGTCACCTGCATGGGCTGCTGCTCCTGGAACAGGCTCTGTTGCTGGTTCGCGGCGGGCGCGGCGCTGCTGCCGGAGGAGCTCTGGACCTGGAACGACATGGGCTCGGCTGCGTCCGGTTGGGGGATTCCGACGCTGATGCTTGCGATGGGGGGCGCGGCTTGAGCCGGGGTGGTGAACAGTAGATCCGAAGTACAGAGGAGCAGGCCCGTCTGCTGGGGCTGAGCGATCTGGTTCTGGGGGACGGCGTTAGCCTGCGAGTGGTTTGGGATGCTCTGGAACAAGGTGCCCTGCTGGCCCAGCGGGAGCTGCTGCGGCGGCTGCTGGTTCTGCTGCGGGGATTGCTGTTGCTCCATTGGCTGGGAGAGCTGGGTCGGGGGCTGGTTCTGGAACATGGAAACGGGCTGGGGCTGGCTGGACGACGTCTCCATGGAAGAGATGAAGGCCAGCTGGGGCTGCTGCTGTGACTGCTGCGGCTGAGGGTTGGTGGACAGGAATATGGTGGACCCCGTGGGCTGCTGCTCGGATCCGAGACCGCCGCCGGAGAGGACCGTCAGCGTGTTCTGGAGCAGGGCGGCCTGCACCTGCTGCTGGGAGCTCTGGGTCTCGGCCAGCGGCTGCGGCGACTGGAAGAGTTGCTGCGGCGGGGACGTGTGGGACGGCGGCGGCGTCGGGAAGCTGGTCTGGATAGTGAGCAGCTCTCCCGCCTGCTGCAGCAGGGAGACGGGCTGCTGCGCCTGGGGGGAGGAGTGAATCTGTGGCTGCAGCAGCTCGGCTTGCAGCTGCTGCTGCAGCTTCTCCAGGACCTGCTGCTCCTGCTGCTGCTGCTGCAGATTGCTCAGGATCTGGTTCTGCTGCTGCTGCTGATCCTGGAGCTGGATGTTGTTCAGGACCTGCTGTTGCTGATTCTGCTGCAGCTGCTGCTGGATATTCTCCATCATCTGCTGCTGCTGCTGCTGCAGCTGCTGTTGGTCTTGAGGCTGCAGCATGAGCTGCTGTTGGATCTGCATGTTGCTGAGGACCTGCTGCTGCAGCTGCTGCTGTTGTTGTTGCTGCTGCTGCTGCTGCAGGTTTTCAAGGATTTGTTGCTGTTGCTGGTACTGCTGCTGCATTTGTATTTGTTGCTGCTGCTGCTGTTGCATTTGTATCTGTTGCTGCTGCTGTTGTTGCTGCATTTGTATCTGTTGCTGCTGCTGTTGTTGCTGCATTTGTATCTGTTGCTGCTGCTGCTGTTGTTGCATTTGTATCTGTTGTCGCGCCGACAGGGAGCCATCGGAGTTGCCCAACCGCAGGCTGTTCATGTTCTCCTGGACATGCTGCTGTAAGGACTCTGCCGACGGCGCCGGGCTGTAGAGCACGGAGTTGAGCTGCTGCTGCGCCACCGCCACCTCCAGCACCTGCTCCAGGGTGGTGGTGCCTCCAGCCTGCAGCTCCCTCACCGCCCGCTCCAACTGGGCCACGCCCTCATGGGGAAACGGGTCTACCTGGGTCTGCTGTGGTGGCGGCTGAGCGGGAGCCGCCATCTGAGGCATGGCTACGACCAAGATGGTCCCGCCGTTATCGGAGCTCTCCGGAGAAAGGCTTTCTTGAGGGTCTCTGAGGAACTGCTGGGGGACTTCCGGTGTCACCGGGGGGATGGTGGTGTCTCCCGACACGGGAAAGGATGTGGTGGAAGAGATCTCTTGCTTTTGAATGGTGCCGAGAGACTCCAGGCTGGGAAAGACGGGCGGCGCCTGGGGAAGCTCGACGTCTTCAGGCTGCAGGGGCATCGGGCTCTCGAAAGCCTCTCCTCCTGGATGCGGGCTCGAGTTGAGCTCCAGAGTCTGCTGCACTGAGATCAGAGGGTCCGGGGACGGCTAAGTGAGAGAGCGCGGGGAAAGTTAGCACCAACCGTGATTGAGATAAGATAAATGTTCAAACAGGACAACGTCTTACTTTGAAAACATCTGTGGGTTGAGGGTTGCTGGAGACCTCCATGGGCGTGTCCTCCTGCCGCTTGGAAGGCTGACCAGAGCAGTCGCTCTGCTCCGAGGACACGGATTTGATCTGACCGTCGAAGATGCAGGTGTTGACCAGCGATGCTCCTTCTGTTTTGACCGTCTGGCCGCTTGAACTATCGGCTGAGGAGTGAAAACAGAGCTTAGAGGAAGTTTTCAATCTCCTGACACCATCACACATTTCAGTTCAATGTTTTGTTGATTTTATGTGACAGGCATAACTGAAAAGTGGAAAAAAAAAAGACAAGTTTTTCTGTAATTTAAAAAAATAAATAAGTAAAAACTTGAAAAGTGTGGCTTGAATTTTTTTCAGTCGGATACTTATAAAATTGTAGTGAATTGTGAGTGTTAGTTAATCTCAGCATAAATGCAGCTGTTCTGTGAAGGGATTAAAAAAAAGAAGAAAAAAAAGCACACCACACTCTTTAGATTTTTAATTGTGAAATGTTGAATGTAGTTCAGCTTCCCCTTCATACTGCTCCATCAGACACATGCGTGATGGTAGACAACCATAGAAAGCACCTGGCTAGCTTCTGACCAGTTCATATAAAATGCTGTTTAATCACTTGCATCTTTAATAGCTCATTGTAAACCAATTTAAAATGATTTGCAGAACCAAATTTTTTTTGAACCAATTATTTTTGTTGTAAGGCATCTGAACAGATTCTGCTCTGCAGCAATATGAAAACCGCCGGACCTGTGGTGGCGAGAACAGCTCGCCACCATCTAACACATTGTACCTTCACCCTCCCCCTCCCACCTTCACATATGCTTCTCTTTATCGTTGCCATTTAGTCTCTTCTCCGTCTCTCCATCTCCGTTCCCCTGCAGCTGCTCCATAACCTCAAGCCAAAAGCTGTATTAACATTTATCCCAGAAGGAAGGTTTAAATATAGGCTAAGAGAATAAGCCTCAGCGATCTAACTTATAAAATATACATGATCTAATTTAATCTCGGGTAAACGACTCAGGTCTTGCTGCAGCCGTTTTTCCACCGGGCGCTCTGAGGAAGAGTTGAAACAGCTCTCATTTCTTTTGCGTTACTCAGGATATCAGACTGCCTTTTTTTTTTTTTTTTTTTAAGCAAACTTCTTGAAGGCAATTCTTCTGCCTGTTGCAAATTATTGTACCTGACTTCGCTTGTTACGCAGGAGAACATTGACCTATGAAACGCTAAAGAATGACACAGACTCTTAAACTTGCTGAATTACTACTGTGTGCAGACACTACAGATAAGTTATCAATGCATGAACTCTAAATGGCATCTTTATGCACTTTGCTTCTGTAAGAACATTCCCCCTCCCCTCCATTTCTCCAGCTCCACTGGAGATAAAACGATCAATGATATTAATTCAGACAACCACAGAACCACATCTTTGGACCAACACGACTATTTTATACTCTTATGTAAGACACTCCTAGTCTCCTGACTTAACTAGATTCATGCTTTGTAATGTGTGCATCACTAATTCATGTTTTTCCTTTCTACTTTTAAATACTTAACACACACACACACTCACTGTGCCAACGTTCATTTAGCTTTTGGCTTGTAGCCCATGTCGAATGTTGTTGATACTAAAATATTTACTCATTCTTGTCAAATGATCATCATTGGTATTTTTCATGGCTGCATTTAAAAGAAGTGGGAGAAAAATTATGTCCTTGTTAAAGCCTGATCTACCTAAAAACTGGTCTCAATGTGTTTTGTAAGATTTTACGGACATAATTCTGGCACATCCCGAGGGTTTAGGTGCCAATTCATATTTGAAGGCGTAATTAAACTACTCCCATGGCTATTATTAGATACAAGCACTGAACAGAAACGGAGGGAAAAACACAGCAACATGGCCCCTGACCGTTAATTTTCCCTTTTTCGCTTAGTGGCATTTACATAGTTTTGATCATATTTAGACTGAATTCATGCCACACATCTTACAAAAACAATTCAATAGAATAGAGACACATAGACGATGAACTATATGAGCACGTCGAAGGCGACTGCATGGCTTTGCAGTTGTTCTACCTGATTCTGGAGTGTAGGTGAAAGCCTGGGCCTCGTGTGATCGACCGGCATTGGTCATCACAAAAATCCCCACGGACACTGGAGAGGTGATGGACTGGCTGTGGAACGGAGGGACGGTCACCACCAAATGGTTCTGGAATACAAGGTCAGCTGCGTTAGAGACAGGCGGACACGAGTGGTGCAAACATTTAAACATACCGAGTCCTGCACGGTTTTCATGCCCCGTGCATTTTTCCGATTGTGGTACGTTCAATCACAAACTTCAAAGTTGGGATTTCATGTTGCAGACAAACACAAAGTAGAACATAATTGTCAATAGTGAGGACAATTGTTGATGCGTTTTTTGTGGGAGATTTCTTCCAGGATCATTCAGGATTACTGAAGTAGTGGGTGGGGGGAGGAATACACAAGTTTATGACACCTTTTGTTGGTTTATGGCATAAGTTTCCCATCGAACACATTGACGTTTGTGGTTGCAATGCAAGGACATGAACACTTTTGCGAGGCACTGTATCTAGGATTGTTAGTTTGCACGTACCTGATGAAAAAGGTCCGTATCAATCTTCGCCTCGGCTTGCCAGGAATTGTCGTCTACGGAGTCGAGAGGAAATGCATACCGTTTTTCATTCTTCGTCATTCGTTTAAAATGCAAACAGAAAAGCTCAGAAACGAGACCCATTAAACTGTCCTTAGTACCTGCGATGTTCTCCTGAAATATGACTTTAGTTCCTTTGAGGAAGTTCTTTCCAATTATAAAAACCTCCTCGCCTCCTTTCACCGAGCCGCTGTGGAGACTCTTCTTCAGGATCTCTGGAAGTCCAGCTGGCTGGGCTGGATGGAGATGGAGTCCAAGAATAAGATTTTTAGGATGATATTCATAACTTACTCATGAATATCATGATTAAGTTAAAAACAACGACAACAAAAAAAAAAAGCCTGGAAACTCACTGCAGAGGATGGGTGATGAGGGGACCTGCAAGGTGAGCACCGAGCCGTCGGGTTGGGGGATGTTGACCCTGAAGGCCAGCCTGGCTCGTGTACTTTTCTTCTTGGACCCCGCCACGCCGATTCGCGCCTCCACGTCCGCGTTACGCAGCTTCAAAATCCCCACGCAGTCCACGCTGCAGACGCAGCACAGAGGAGGAGAAATAAGCCCTGCGTACTTTGCATGAACATCACGAGCCTCCGTGTGAAATAAAACCGTCTTTTCTTACGCTAGCGTCATGTCGTTGCTGGGTTCCAGAGGGATCTCTATCACCGTTGTGCCGTCTATGTCCACCTCCTTACAGGCGGTGGTGTTGCGTCCCGTTACTCGACACGCCTGATAGAAACCGTGAGGCTTCACTCTGCCCGCGTCGTTGGCAACAAACACCTGGAGAACCACTGGTTCGCTAATGCCTTCCAACTGTGGACAGAGCGTTAAAAAAAATAAAAAGAAGAGAAAATAAGCGAGAGGAAACGCTAAGCTTCAGAAGGTTCCTACATGTTCCATGACGTTTTATTTAGATTTAAACATGTAAAAGAAAAAAGTAAACTGAATAAGAAAAGTCTGAGGACTTTATTCTTTAAGCCATTTTTTTTTTTTTTTTTTTTTAAATGATGCCATCCATATTTGACCAACTCGATTATTTTGGCATTGGAGTCGCTTACAGAACCCAAAGATAAATGTAAACCTTTAAAAACACGCTAAAGAGAGAATTTCACTGGTTTTTAATTTTTTTATTTATTTATTTTTATTTGAGGGCAACATTTTACATTTTTCCTGTGGTTCCTAACCATCATTATAAACATAAACAGATGGCCGAAATACAGAATTACCATCAGGACGGTCACTAGTAGTGATTCAGGATAACAGTTTGAGCATTTTTCAAATCCTTTCTGGTCTAAGACTTAGCTGAGGATGTTTGTGGAGTCAAACCTTGACAGTTGGGAATCCTTGCTGTGTGCGATCTTTAACTGAACCTCTGCTGCCCTCCGTCAGGTACCGGGCTCGGTGCTGGGTCTCTGGCTGCACCAGGATCTTCAGCTCCTTCCCGTCACTCCTCTGAGGAAACTGGGCAGACAGCGAGCCACCTTTCACCGCAGTTCCTGAATCGAGAGAGCTGCACGACAAAAGGACAGATTCAATCACTGCAGAGCAGAAAGAAAAATGAATAGCTTCTACTGTACTGCTACAAATAATCGAAGCCAACGTCGTCGTCACAAATGAAGAAATAATAAGGTTTGAAGACGGTCCACACCTCGCAATTGAGCTGGTCTTGTCTGTGCTCAGCTGTGAGAGGACAAAGTGAGGACCCTTGGCGCTGTCCGCGTCAAACACGTCCATGCTGTCCTCCGGAGGGGTCGGCTTGGGGCCCGGTCGCTGGCGGGGCGTCCGTTTCCTGGATTTGCGTGGCACCTCCGTGTTGTCGTTGTACGAGGCAGAGCTGATGATGCTGAAGTTGGACACGGAGTCGTCGGCCCACATGCTGCTGCTGTGCTCCGAGTCCGGACACGCCGCCGCGGCGACGGCGGGCTCCTCTTGGCACGACATTTGGCTGTCGTCAAACAGATCTTCGGGCGGCGGCGAGATGCTCAACACGGGCCTCCGCTTTGACGGCGTGTTCTGCAGCTGCTGCACGCCCAGCCCCGACAGCACGCCGGTCCCTCCGTCCCCGCCTGTGGCGCTCGCTCCGCCGCCGCCGCCGCCTCTGCTGGGCGCCGATCCGGCCGCCTCCATGCCTTGCATCTCTGACGCTCCGGGCCCGTCCGCTCCCGTGGAGTGGAGGTGCTGAGAGACCGTGAGGTGGTCTGAGGAAGAAGTAGAGAGGCCCATGGCCAGGGAGGAAGAGGCAGAGGGGCTGGAGGTGGAAGAGGTGGCATCTGCAGTAGCACACACAGATCCAGTTAGCACAGATGTTCAGCACAGAGCAGGCTAGCAGTCCCATTCAAGCAGCTGAATTTGTGCATGATTTGTTCTGATTTCCCCTCTTCCCAACTCTAATTTCAACAGACCGTTTGTCGGTTTTACACTCTCACTGTGCATGCGAGAGCTGCCAAGCATTGATCAAATAATCTGAAGTTAAAGTTGAGAAGGGTACTATTGGTCCCACAATGTTTTTCTTTTTTGTATGTTTGTTTGATTGATTCCTATTAAAAAAACAACAAAAAAAAAAAAAAACCTCCCAATTAAAAAAAATAATAAAAAAAATCAATGTGACAAAACTGACATGCTTTGTTTACAAAAACAAAAGCAAGCTACAAATTGTTACATACACATTGCCAGAAAGAAACGGAACAAAACCTGGTCAAACTTTCTTGTACAGCCAAATTTTGCAAGCTGGATAAATGTGGCGCCAAATTAAAAAATACATTAAAAAAAATAAATAAAAGAATTGCCAGGGTTACATCACAGTTTGTGCAATGTGCATTCAAGTAGAAAAAACAGTAGAGTTTGTGCATGCCAATTGGAAGATTTGGTTGGGACTGAGCGTAGCCATGGAGACAGAATAAACAAGCCTCTGACCTATGGAGCAGTGAACTGCAGACCATTTTATATGCAGACACTCCCTGCCTCAGAGGGAACTTCCTGCAATAAAAACGAAACAGCCAATGAGCAACAAGAGAGCTGATCATTCAAGACTCAACTTCTGTCAATCACTAAATTGGATGAGTGAATACACTGAAGGAAGGAGTAGCTTTGGAAGTCGACCATTTATAGACACCTAAAAGCATGTGCGCTTTGTTAATGATGATCTGTGAGACGTTACAGTAGTCATGCTTTTGATCAGCGCTGCTTAGGGCCAGCTAGGCCAGTGATAAGGTAGCAATAAAACAAAAAAGCGCTCCCTCCGACACGACTGCCGGCCAAGTTAGTTTGCTCTTTACATCAGACTCTGTTAGAAGATCGCTCACAGCTGCAGGTGATGTTGGCAGCCCTAAAACCATGATCTAAGTTTTTATTCTGGTTCGCTAAAACCTTGTAAAAAAAAAAAAATAAAAAATTAAAATATACAAACGAGTGACTGCCAAAGGGGCAACTTGACTGTTTCGCCCAAAGTAAAAACTTTTATGTTTATTCAAAAAGTTGGGAGGAAAAATGGATAATTTAAAAGAAAGGGTATAGTTTCATTCAAATAAAATAAAATGAAAATATACAGGAGCAGAGGATTTCCTTTTATGAACTGCTAAGCCATCTAATGTACGCTTAGCACAAAAAGCTCTTTGTTACAATCCTTGGGGAAAAATAAAAAATAAAAGTCTTACACCGCTGGAAAACCCGTTTATGTCCCTTTAAATGGCTCCATATCTGTAAGGATTGAGCAGTAGAGTTAAGCATGTCAGTAAAATCTGGAAAAAATTTCTCAATCCCTCTTTGATGAAGTCAAACTGCTTATATTCTGCTTTAACTGTTGTTTGATGTCAAAAAACAAAACAAGACAACGGAAATTTAACAAGTTATTCCTTTAACAAACAGTCAATGGGTGACTGTTATCCATATTACCACGTTTACATTCTGGTCACACACTGATGTTGGACAACATCCCATACCTTAGCCAGCATATGGTCTAAAAACAAAACAGTTAATGTGGTTGTGTTAGTCACTCTGGCAGAACCAGTTCACCCCAAGTAGATCCAACAGGTGTTCAATAGATGGTTGACCAGCAGACAGGTCATCCAAAGTGTCATCATTGTGGAGGGCAAGAGTTTGGCACTTATTAGTGGACATGTGGGATGACCAAATCTCACCTGGCTAACCCTGTATAGCATTAGCCCGACAGTGACAAGTTTTGTTTTATTAATGACAGATGCTGCCCCTCGCCTCCAAAAAGTCATTTTGTAATTCTCAGACATAAACGGGCTTCCAGTGGTTATCATGTATTGAAAAGAAGCATTTTTACAACAAAGAAATCATAAACTAAACACACATTTCACTACCATTTGTGCTAAGTTTATGTCTTTCAACTGTCAACAGACCTTTGAGCAACAAAAAAAAAAAAAGTAGAAGCATTAAAATGTAGATGGAAAAAAAAAATCAGGGAAACGGTAAAGAACATCTCATTCCAATGTTACCATGCTTTTAAAGTAAGCACCAACTGGAACGATTCACAGGAGGACAGGTTATGATTTATTCTTAGCAGCAGTCACAGTAAATTAGTCACTGAGACTTGCATTTTATAGTTGATGTAAAAAAAGAATACATTTGATGTCTGTCTAACAGGAAACTCAAAGATCTTTATCCATTCTTCAGGTTTCGTTTTAAACAGAGGAGAACTTACGACATACATCTTAAGGAAGCCCAAATATATCATTACCATAGACTATTACGCTCGTTTTTTGAAAGGGCCAAGCACTCAGGTGACTTGATAAGAAATTTCTGTGAAAATCTCAAATTGTGAAGTTTAACCCAATTTGAGGTATTACATTGGATATAACCAGTAATAAATAAAAGCAGTCAGGAATCAGATAAAACAAAACCCAAATAACATGGTTGCATGACCGTGCACATCCTCTTATAACCAAATATGTGTCTCTGCCTACAATTAACCAATGTATCCCTTTTTCTGACCATTTCTGACAAGCCCTGGCCTGTAGCAGTATTACTACTACATCTCCTGTATTCATGCGTTTGGGCGTTGTGGTGGCAAGCTGGAAGTTTTTTTTTCTAAACAAAGCCCATCAACTTCTGGCCAAAATGTGAAAACACAAATTATGAAGTCTCCCAAAAGAACACTACGCAAACAGTGTCTCTTCGGGATTGCCGGCACAAAACCTTTTGGTTTCTGTTAGAAGGCTTAGGATGAAGAGAAACGTCGTCTTTTAACGCATCGACGAAAGCAAACATCCGAAACCATCGACAGAAAGGATTCAAAGGAGTTAGAGCAAAGTTTTGGAAAGGCTCTGCCCCTAAGGAGACTCTGGATCTGCAATCCGGCAGAACTGAACACTGTTTGCAAAGAGGACGTCAGGATGTACCACGCTGATCCACTCCCACCCAAATACAGTGTAATAAAATCAAAAGAGTCTTTGAAAAAAGTATTAGAGGGTGTGCACATTTATACAAACATTTTATTTTACTTCCCAAAAAAACACAATGATTTCAATTGAGTGGAACAGGTTACAAATGACCTTAAAGGTGGAAAAAAAGATATGAAATGATCTCTTAGTCTCACTTCTTGCATCACAAAACTCGAATCGTGTTAACCCAGTTGTGTAGATTTTTTTCCCCCCTATCCACTGGAAAGGGAAGTGTTGATTGTTAAAACCCCCTGTAGGCACCAGTTCATGACTCCTCTGGGCTCAAGCCTTTGAGTTTCAGGAACAAATATACAAGACCTCTGAGTCTGGCAAGATGGATTATTTTAGTTGTATTATGATCTGGTAAATCTAAAGCAAATCCAGCTGCTTCAAAAGCTAAGTGTTTCCCATGCTGCTGCTAAGGCAGTGCCATGCATCAACTCTATTCAAGACGAATGCAGCCATAGATCTGAAATGTAAATCAATCAAGGAAAGCAGCTTTTATAGGAGAAATAACTTCCCAACGGTGTAAATGGCAGGCATCATGGAATAAGCGTCGACTTGGTTTTAAATATCATAACGGCTTCATCATCTAACCAAAATACCAAAATTCTGACTTTAAACAGCAGCTCAAAAACTAATTCATGACATTCTGTATTTTGCTAGAAAAAGCTAGAATGTCACAGTTTAGTTACAGTAATAGGCTTTTGGAGCAGCAACAACAACAACAAAAAAAACAACAGGCCCAAGTGATGAATTGAAAAGACAATCGTTCAAGATATTTTCTAATTTAACTGGATATCAATAAGAATTAATCTTAAGTACCACCTTAGTAGCCTTGTGATGCTACATCACCACCAAACATATTAAAAATACGAATACTTCACTAAAATCTAGAGGTTTATTCAGAACTAATTTGGCCTCGGATGAAAGGGTGAAGTTGCCCCCCAGACAATCACAAGGCCATAATTGCTGCTTCGCCCCTGCTAACTTGGGGAGTAGATTGGAACAGGAAAACTGATCCCAGATCAGGGTTTTTCCTTGGCTGGGCAGATATCTCACCTGAGGCCAACGTTGCAGAGGGAGGAGGTCCCGCCTCTCCCCCGCTCTTCTGGCTCATGGTGGGTGGGTCTGTCTGGGTGGACGATGGCTGAAGCTGGAGCTCTTTGGGGAGGAGGTCATATACTGACTCTGCCATAAAGGGTGAGCAGGAGAACATGCATTAGTTCAGTGGAAAGAAAAAAAGATGCATCAGATTGTCTATCATAGATCTGTGTGACTGGAGACGAGAAGGCTGCACTGCAGGCCTGGGTTAAGACCGTTTAAGATCAACAAGACAATTGAAAACTATTTTCACAGAAAATATGTTTCCAGATTAAACAACAACAACAACAACAAAAAAACATTCAAACAAAAATTTTATTGCGTCTACCTTTTCTGGCAGTTAATCCAAACTCAGTTTAGCATCAGTACAACACCAAGGTTTCCCCCAGAAAACTTGCTAAGCCCAGTGGTTGGTTGCTAGTGCAGTCATTCATCCAGCAGCCCTTTGGGTTTTTTGAGTTTAAACATTTTTTAAAATTGACAGGGAATTTGAAAATATCACTTGATATGTGTTATTGAAAGATTGGAAGTTTAATTCCTGAACACCAACTACAAAGTCTTAAAAAAAATGCAAACATTTGAAAAAGACTTAAATAAGTAATGCTTAGCCTGGTGGGGGGACAAGAAAAAGCCTGGTGGCCCGCCAGGCTTATAATACACTGGGGAAAACCCTGAATAAAAAACCTAGAGGGTTCCTACATATTTCATTATATGTCAAAATGCCATACTTTTTGCAGACCAAAACCTTCAGAGTTCACACATAAAACTTTTTTTTTTTTTTTTACAAAAACCAAATATTTAGAATAATTTGTGGCATGAATTTCAAATGCGTTACTTTCTTTAAATATGGAACCTGCTATATTGGGATAGACAGATGACTGGATGGAAAAGTGGACAAACCGATGGACGGAGACAGATGGAAAAACAAATGGACAAAAGACTGGACGGACAGACCTATGGGGAATAAGTCTGGAAAGGCAAACATTTTTCCCTACTCTCTATTCATACATGAAAACACTTGAATCATTCGCCACATTTTTCTGTAGCGCAAACTGATTGAGCCCTGTGGTTCTATTACTGAAATAGAAAACCTACAGATAACACTAACGCAACACTGATAAACTGAGCTAGCCTCCTGCAGTGCACCAACAGCAGAAGAGACTCAATGATATTTGATTCGAGCATAATTCCTAGTCGAAATGTCCAACCTCTGCAATAACATAGGATTAAACTACATTTGCTGGCTGATAAACACATCAGTCGGCAATTCGGTTGCTAAGAAACAGGCACCCATCAACACTATGACACGGATATTTCAGCTGCGCGCTGGGAGCGGGCAGCATGTGTAGTAGTCATCCGACACTTGGCACCGGCAGCGTCTTAACGCTGACAGGAGACTTGATCTCACACTTCTGTGACGTGAACGACGGACACATCACCAGTCACGTTCACACAAAGATCCGCACAGTTCAGACGCAGGAAAATGTGAATGTTTTAAAAACGAAAGCAGACGCCATGTTTTATCAAGCTCGTTCATAGCGCGCCTGCTAATGTTTGGGGCTCTAATAGGCAGGCCCCATTATTACAGAGCAGCAAGGGGATCATGAGAGGACCACTTGGCTTGAAAGCCAGAAATCAAGATCAGGTTTGTATTAATGTTTATTGGGGATAATCAAGAAATCTTGACAAGTCTGCTACCACTACAAATAAAAGAATTTTAATGGGTGAAACTAGTCGAAATATGTTATGAATATCGAAAATCAATTTTTAAATTGCTAAAAGCTTTATTTGTGTAAAGAAAGTGGATCTTTGTTTCTGCATTCATTGCAGATTAACTGCCAATCCAACATGACCTCAGTCTAAACTATAATCATTGGCACAGAGGAGCTGAAGTCTATTGCATGTGTGTTCAAACGTGCACAGAAGCTATTTGTCTGCTGCAGCAGCAACCAGAGGAACAAAAATCTTCATTGTAACGCAGAACATGTGCAGTAGCAGGAACTCGATATACTTCTGTGGAACAACAGAGGGACATCACATGAGAGGGACCAGAATGGCCGCTTATCCTGTGATCTGTCGTAGGAGGAGGTTCCCGGAGATTAGGTGACTTGGATTGACCTGATCAAAATGACTCCACGCTGGGTTAAAGCCGGTCCTCTGCTCACTTAGTGCATCACCATTTTGATTTCATTTTCAGACGTGTGCGATTAGGACACAAAACAGGCTTATTAATTTATTCCAGTTGGGATTAATGTAGGTAAAGAGTTACGTATAATAAAGAAACGTCACACCAAAGGTGCTCAAAATCAGTTAAACATAAAACTTATTATTCAAAGAGTGAATAAACTAGTGGATCTAATCATTTAGTTCAGACATACTTTAACCATCATGCAGCACATTATGGAATTTATTGTTCAAGCATTAGATGTTTCGAGGGGACATGATAGCATCATTGTGGTAGTTCCTGCTGGTTTGGGGGACGTTTTGCATGCAAACCAATATTTAAGTTTATGATCGAAAAAGCTCAATAGAAAGACCTCAAATCTCATCGCTTTTCTAATCCAACCATCTCTATTTGAACAGGAAAGTCTTGGCACCACTGACACACATGCACAGCTTGTATTAAATACAGAACAGATAAACTAGCAATATGCAAAATTCCACTTACAGATGCCGACAAACTGCAAAGAGAGGTTTACCATCACAGATTAGGTTGCTTATATCCATAAATAGCAATACTTAAATCAGGTGACCAGTGGTAGCATCTGCAAACGTTGTTTAATCCATACAAAAGTCTGTAAAACGTTGAACCATAACAGCTTTACAGTGATGGAGAGCATAGATACTGGATGTAATTGGCTTAAAAAATTCAATCTAATCCTCTTTTGACCTAATCTCTGAACCTTATTATTAAGACTTTATTTACATTAAAACAATGGATTTAAATGTCACATTGAGGCGACGACTCAAAGTGCTAAAAATCAGTTATCCTTACAATATTTCTAATAAGACCAAAACAAAGGCGATGCTACTCAAACGAATTTGCAGTCGTGCCCAATCTGCAACAGAGAAAATAAAAACGCCGTCTCGTAAAGTTTAAATTGAGATCAGTCATAACAGTACTCTGCAACAGAAAAGTCACCCAGGCGGAGGTTTGACTTCAACCTACACCGAGAACAATTAAATTATGTCATCTCATAGTTATGTGCTGCTCACATTACGCATGCCTCAGAGGTCCTGCCAAGATACAAGGGCATCGGTCGGTTTCTATTCTTTGCAGCAGGGTTGCGGCTACGTTAGGGAGAACTTAGATGAAAGGGCGAACCAAAAGGATATGTTTCAGTTGCAAATTAAAAAATAAAAATAAAAACACGAATAGCAAGAATTTACTTTGGTGCAGAGTTATAGGTGCAAAACAAAAGTGTTAGTCAGAGTGCAAAAAAAAAACAAAAAAAAAACAATGCACTAAAATAAAAAAAAACTACAAAGAATGCATTTTTTAAACTATTCATCATGTCTTTTTTTACTTTTAAAAATTTTAACAAAAAAATAAAGTACAGCTATCAACCCCATTTTTATCTACAAATAATATTAAAATAACCAACTATATAGGCTATATAATTTAATCTCCAATTACTTCACATACTTCCTTCTATTCACTCTGCAGTTTTAGTTTTAATCCTCTGTTGTTTGAAATTGTAATCTCTTAGAGTTCTACAAAAAAGAGATTTGTTTCCCACAAACACATCTGACAAAGGCTTTATTTTCTCTGTAAATAAATTACCACCAAGATGGACTAGTAATAATACTTAAAAAAAAAAAAAATGCAAATGATTTTACCTGAACAGTTCTGTGTCTTGTTGGAGCTGAGAGAAAAGAACACTGGTGCCTAACTGCTGCAAACATCCAGTTGTGGATGGGTTCTCAGACTGATGGCCTCCACGTTTAGAAACCGATTATTACTGCCAATGTGGACATTACGTTGAGTGGACAGTCCACCGTATCATTGTGTTGGTAAACAAAACTGGAAAGAAAAGTGGAGATAAACTCCATGAAGATCTTTTTTCAAATCTAATGGTGAAGAAAACTTCACTTAGTAGTCGGCCAACTTGGACCGAAGACTTTTTATATACAATATTAAAAATAAATAAATAAATAAAAAATAGACCAAGTGATCATTTGTTGCTTTGACATAATAGTGTTGATGCTGTGCTAAAAAGCTGAGCGCAAAGTTGGGTCAGAACATCAATCTTTGAATCTAGACGTACCACTAAAGAAAATACATCATCATTGGGTCGACTACTGGGAAATCTGTAGAGATGTTTACTGACAATCTGGTGTTGGCTGGTTTCTAAATTGATTGTGAAACAATCAATTTAGAAATGTAGGCCGCTATGATATTTATAGGTCCTTGTTATTTCACTATTTTGTAATTTTGGCCATCTTCTACCTCATTTTTTTAGCCACAAAATGGTCCCGACCCACTATGGGACCTAATGGGACATTTTGCATCCCCTTTCACAAACAGGAACTTAAAGTAGTTTCTATACGTTATACTTGGGTCTACTGTGAGGAAATTGGTTTATGTGACTACAATATGCAATACGGACACATGCTTTGCTTTGATCAGCGTCTAGAATCTCTCATTTCTCAGTCAACTGGGCCAAACGGACATCAGAATCACTGCCAGAGAAAATAAAGTCTTAAAATAAAATGTGAGATTTAAGCATTTTCAGGAGTATTTATCTCCATAATTTATAAAAGTAAAGCCACACATCAGCTTAAGCACCCTGGTTTGGTTTACATGTGCCTAACCCAGTATGGAGCCACATTGATTTGTGAGGTAGGTATTGTATAAATGGAAAAGTGAAACAGCTTTAAAGGCAGGAAAAACTGCACTCCACAGATTGGAGAGAATTTCAATCATGTTTGCTTCTTCACTGGTTTTGAATGTGATCTGTTTTTTCATCCGTCTCACTTTGAGCCAGGAGAAATATATAAATCAAATAATGAAAAATAAATAAAAAATAAAAAGTTAATACCAAGCAGACCCAGAGAAACCCAGGACTAAACGGACTGCGTAGCCAGCTGTCTTCCCTACACATACACCAAGGCTCTCTCTAGATATTTCGGATAAGCACTCCTGCTACCTAGATTCCAACACGTACTCCAACTCCGATACTCACCCAGTTACTGAGATATAAATAAACAGTTATGTTGTCGAGTGCGACCATATGGCGGTCTCACCTAAACATTTCAGGGTCACAGAGCTTTCTGTTGGCTCGTGGAAGCCAGGACAGATGTGGCACCAGCAGGCAGGTTCAGGTTTTGTTGGGTAGCAACACCAAGGTTTTAAGTGATGACAAAATCTGGGACAAGCTTAAGACAGCAGCTCTTAACCCTCGCAGAGGGGGTTTATGAAAGCAGGTTTATTTCATAAGGGACAAAAACGTTGACTGCTTTCTGAAATATCGGCAAATGTTTTCTAAAAAAAAACACAAAAAACAATAGAATTACTTGACTTTTTTTTGGAAGCAGCAGTTTTATAAAAAGGCATCCCATGGCAGAGAGATGAGCTGTGAGGAGACGGTTTGTGGAAGCTGTAATGGTTTTATGGTGCGAGAGAACATTCACTGTGATGCTGAATGTTTAACGTTGAATGAATAAATCCAACAATCCTGCAAAGAGGTGTGCAGGAAAATATGGAAACGGATTGAAATCCAGCAGTTTTCAGTCTGAAAACAACACGAAGAACATATACAAGCAAAGCATTGTGCAAGAACACACAAATGTTAAAAACTAAACAGCATCATGTGTGTTGTACTAAAAGTAATGATCTTATCTTGCGGAAGATACACTGAAGATACTTTTTTGTGGCTTTTTTTTTTTAAACATTGAGCAAGAAAGTCTCCCATTCAGTCTGAGAGTGGAGATTTTGTGCACGGGAGAAAAACCGCAACCCCAACATTACTGAATCAGTAAAAGAACAAAGCATTACTGTGATCAGGCCTCGTGATTTAACAATCTAACATTACACATGAAACAAAAAAGCTAATCTGAAAGCCTTGCTGAAACACACACCATTTGGTCTCTAAAATATATTTGTACTAGCTCATTTTAAGGTTTTATTAAATTATTGTCGCTTGCACATACCCAAATCTTACTTTGATTGAGTCATTAATTAGCTTTTGTTAAATTAATTTAAAATGTTAAACTATTATATAAATGTAGCTATTTTAAGTCATTCAATGTGTGGAACTGCAAAAACAATATTTAAGACCTAGAGTCCACAGGGCTAAACCAGTTGCTAAAAACCACAAATTTTGACTGACACAACAGACAACTCTTTGCAAATACATCACACTGTAAGCATAGACTTTATATGTAGATTGTTCCTGCAAACCAGTTTTGTCATTTTTTTTTGTGTGACACCATTGCCTACATTCACATCCTGGCTCTTTGTTCCCCCTTTATGATCAACCAATATCTCGGCTTATTTGTCAAACCAATTTGTTCAATTCAAAAACTAATTGCGGTGCAGGTGCAGAGAAAACAGTTGCCAATCTCCTCATTGCTTTTATAGTTGCAAGTCATGATGCTGTAAAGCAGTGGTCCTGCTTTAATAATCAACAGACAGAAAAGGCAGTAGTGTGGTAGGCTTTAGATAATAAATTAACATCAAAACCTCTCAAGAAAAACAGTCTGACAACCTTGACTAATATCTAACTGGGATTAAAGTGTAATATAAACTCATAAAAATCACAGTGTAATTCAAAAGCAGATACCTCATCTCAACCATGTGGCTATAAAGACATACTTCTGTTTAAGCTGCCTTTGACTGATTATAAATCACCAAGTATGTTGATTAAATACTACGGATATGTTCATTTTTTTTTTATAAATAGAGGCATCACACAAGCCGAAGGAGACAGGGAGAGGTTTATGTAAGGCACTATGCTTTCAATTTTGAGTCAAACATCTTCCGATCTTAATAATAGGCCATGACACATGCCAAAAAACACTCTTGTTACTTTTATTTTAACAGTTCCCACCCCACCCAATAAACTTTAATGTAGAGAAGCATTTCTCCTCAGATGTTGCACCAGAGTGATTCTGGTGTGTTTTTGATCCCTTGTGCCTAGTACATGTCATCCACTACTCCACAAACTCGAGCTGCCAAGCCAACTTTTTCTTAGATATAACTCGACTATTGTGGCAAGCCACTCTACCTTGGTTGCAACAGCAACGGGTTGACTTCAACTCTTTCCCAATGAACAGAGAGAGAGACTCCCAGACTTTGCTTTAAAAAGCAAACTCAAGTTATATATATAATTCCCCCTCTATAAAACAAAACGCCAGAGTCAGAGTCTCAACCATTTTTTTGTTTTAGATCGTTATTTAACTGGATAAAATGTACACTTATGAACAACCAACGTCGACATTCTGTGAACATCTCTCAATGATGTCAGACAAGATGCTTTTACAGAATGGAGTACTGTTTATTTCAGCCTTGGGATCCATGTTAGCGTCCATTATAGTCTAAGTAGATCTTGCTCAAACATATAAGGTCGAAACCCTTTTAGCTAGAAGGGGTCTGACCATTGTCTTATTGGACTCCATCCGAGTTGTATTACTTAGATGTAAAAAAAAAAAAAAGTATCTGACAAATAATGGCTCAGAACACAACTCAGAATCTGACAAACGCTGCTTATCCAGTATGGCATTTAGTAAAGCCTTGAAATTTGCATCCTTGATTTGAGCCCAGTTGTTTAGTACTATTCTCACTATCTAGCGTCCTTACTTATGACCTTATGATATTTTTTTAAACCACAAAGTTAAAAAATTCTGACATTTTAATATGTCCTGTGCTGAAAAAAAAAAAAAACATTTTTAAATTTCCCTGTGCGTTTGTTGAAAAGGAAAGTTACCTTTAGTTATTGCTTTAAAAAATCAATCAGATTAGCAAGTTAAAATATGAGAACAAGACTTTCAATCATCTCTGGATCAAAATATGCTAATTTCAATAAAATTCCCCGCCTGTTAACGAAAATAATCCAGGTCTTTATTTTAAACATGCTACAGCACAAGAGTAGCCATTTTCCAGAAACTAATTCGTATAATTTCTCTTGATACAAGTTTTGAGATGACTGACACAACACAAAGACCTGGAAATAAAACTTGAGCTAAATGCCGACACTGAGCTACATACCAAGCTAATCACACAAAGACATGACGAAGAGCGTTGGTCTTCATCGTCCAGCTACGCCCTCCTAATAATAACAGAGCAGTTGGCTGACACGTGTTCACCAGTATTAAGAGGCAGATTACATTTCAACTCCAGCGGGCAGCTTTATACGCACCCTGGAGGGGCCATCAACTTCATACTTTCATTGAAACTAGAGAATGTGGAGGAGGATAACTCTGGGTCGGCTCCACTGAGCAAACCAAAACAAAAGAGGGGCTGTCTGTTACGTTAAACAGAAATTATAGGAATACACAGGAGTGCATTAATGCGATGCACACCATTCAGTGTTGAATGTACATACCAGCACGCACACACACACACACACACACACACGCACACACACACTGTGTGCAGAATCTGAGCAGGACTTAAGTACCTTAAACCGCTGAACAATGTAGTAACAGCAAATCGACCTCACGTAGCTTTACGTTAGCTCTTAAATGAGTTCATCATGATGCGAACAACCAGCTGGCACCTAAATGTTAGCATTACGATAATATCTTATGATTTCAATCGGCCCCAGCGGAGAAAGGTGTATTTCCACGCATGTGGCAAACAGGTTGTTGCTCTCCAGCCCACCAACCTGATAACTGAGTTAGCTCGTCTTGCTAAGAGCAGAAAAGAAGCTAACCACAGCTAGCTAGCAGCTTAACATGAGCCGTTAAGACATTCATTTTGGCTGCCGATCACATACACACAATCGGAGCCGAGACTCCACAGAAGCCTTTCTCTACTGAAAGCTTACCTTTAGAGTATAGAGATTTAGGGGAATTGAGGTCAATATCCGAGCTAAGGAGGGATATAAAATCAGAGGGCATCGCAGCGCTTCATCGAGGGGGAGGAGGAGCGGAGAGTCTTCAGTGGAAACGGAGTCGGATAAATCCTGCGCTTCAAAGGCCAAATTCCGTGCCGTACATAGTATAGCATCGAAACTATTTCAGAGAAACCAACATAAAACTTCAAATTCCTGAAAAAAATCCCGTTATCTACAAGGTCTCCCGCTTATGAATGTGTGTGTCTTTGCTGATAGACACGTTTCGCCCAACGAACACACACAAACACACACACACTTGACTACTGTTGGTCAGCCCATCTAGCAGCCCCGCCTACTAAAATGTGGGGCGCATGCGCTCTGGCTGCAATAAGAGAACTACGGCTTCCCATCAAAGGCCATATTTACAAAATTGAGCATCTACATTAAATAAGTTATTGTATAAAATCTAGGTAAGTAAATGAAAGTTCATAATTCTTTGAATGCGTTAATTTAGCAAATACATGAAAATCAAATTAACAGTAAAAATCTTAATTATTTCCTTACCTTTTTATATAGTTGCTGAGCTGCAGCACACCATGAAATCATTCAAGCTGCCACTGGTTTCTGTCAAATAAACCGCAACATCTGATTGGTTGACCTGTTTAAACCAGTCAGCTTCTGACCATTCATTTAAACAAGGATCAGTTTTAGCCCGCCCACTGCTTCATTGCATCACTGCCTTAAACTGAAAAGCTCATATCTTATTCATAAATCATACAATCAACAGCACGGATTAATTTAATCTGTCAAGTATATATGAATTAAACTCGATGGTGCAGGACTGACTTTGATCAGGCAAAACAATTTGTTTGAAGGTCAGGTTAGCCAATCAAATGTTAGTATTTATTTCAAAAAGTATGAAACAGAAGTTTGTAACCCCCTGCTTTCTCTTAGAGATAAGCAATAAATTACATTAAAGTGTTTTTGGGTACGCTATTAAGGCTAAAATAGCACATACTTAGAATCAGGACCTATAAAATGTACCCAATTTCCTTTTCCCTTTTTTTGTAAAGATGATGTTCAATAAATGAACTTGCAAGTCCATTTTTTGAACATTCAAGTTCAATAAATGTTCAATTCACATTGTAAACTTCCCAGTCAGGCAGGCCACCTGTAACAGAAGAATAGGGTGGTTAACAGGCAGGTAAAGCAGCAGGAACAGGTGGATGCAGCTGGTTTTGCATACAGAGGAACTGAAGAGGTCCTGTTCAAATTGAGGCCATCAGACAATAACCAGGCTCAAAGCTGTAAATTCTGTCTTACATGTTACTTACATATGACGTTAATTTGCATGTCTTATTTCAGTTTTATTTTGATTGGATTCCAACCTGGTGATATTAGCTTTACCGCTTCATTTTTATTTGCTTACCATTCATGATTCTTGTTGAAAGTTAAATTTTTTGTAGTATGATCCAATGCAGTTTAAAAAAAAAACAACAAGAAACAAACAAACAAACAAAAAATATTTTATTTGTTTAATCTGTCATCAATATCTGCTTATCCTTGCATGGTTACAGGCTACATCCAGCTGTCATCGGACGAAAGGTATGGAGTTAAATTTCTTTCACAATTATTCAATCAAAAAATCTAATGTCAATAAAATAAAATAAAATCTTGATCAAAACTTTAACTTTTTTTAAATCACCAATTTTTATTTCATAAAGTGAAAAAGTTATTTCCAAATATTTTAATTTTATTTAATTTTTTTTGACGTTAAAAATTTTGATCACAATTTTATTTTTAAAAAAATTCATATTAGGTTTTTTTTTATTGAATAATTGTGAAACAAATTTAACTCCATACACTTCTGACACATTTGTATCCGCATTAAATTGTATATTTTTTTTTTTACAACGTATACGGCAGAGATTAATTTCCTCAATATCCCAGAAGGCACTTCGGCTGTCGTCAACGTGTTGTTGCGGAAGTGCCGGGTGAGCATTTTTCTGATAGCGTTTTTAATCTCCCAGAGCAGCTATCTTTGTAGCTGTTATTGTGCTTGTCCGCGAAACAGCGCCGTGTCTGTGGAAAGCTTGAGCAATGGCAGCTCTGAAATACGCTGGTATGGACGATACGGACAGTGAAGATGAGTTACCGCCTGGATGGGAAGAGAGGTCCACCAAAGACGGTTGGGTTTACTATGCAAAGTGAGTGGGAACCTCTGGATGTGCGCTGTCAGACTATCCCTGCAGGACTCAGACGTCAGTGTTATGTGTTAAAATAAACAATTGGCTTTAGCTGCAGATATTTAAGCTTAAATAAAACAAAGGGAGCTCACATTGTTTGGGGGTGGCCTTAATGTCTGGATGTAAATCTGTGTGGACAACTTTTTCACTTAATAAGTAATCATC